GCGCCAGGTTGGTGTGTATATACTGTCTGTGTGTGCGCGTGTGTTTGTGGGTGCGAGCAAGCATGCATGGCGTTTGTAAGTTCGTGTGTGTGTGTCAGGGTTTCCGTTAGGAAAATGTGGCGCTGGACAGCACTTTAATTTGAGAACCTAATCAGGTGCATAACCTGATTAGGGCGTCAACCCACGGTGCACAGAATGACAATCACATTTAGATTACGGTAATTCAACAGAACATGCAAGTCGAGGATGCAATGATGTAGGGCTGTCCCCAACAAAAAATTAAATCTTGGTCGACCAAAAGTCGTCTGTTCTTTCGACCAATCGATTGGTAAAAAATTTAAAACGTGTATTTTTCCATATACCCTATGTGTGTTTTTAATAAAATCAGCTATATATGCATTGAGCTTGTCTGATGCTTGAAGCTCACTGTTTGATGATATAACACACAAATGACTTAAGAGGGAGCCAGAGATCAAGATAACCGGGAGAAAAAAAAATACTTAACCTGTCCCGACCATCCTCCTCCCGCTCCTACTAGCTTTTCGCAGATTCTGCCGTACTCTGTTGTGTGTCCGTGTAAATAGCCAGTTTTTATTTTCTTTTGTTGTATATATTCCCCTATCACACTTTTCATCCTTCTACTAAATATACTTTCCTGCAACCCGCCTCACTCAATGTGGAACGGATTCTATTATTTACTTACCTTTTATCTAGAATCTCCAGTTGAAACTAGCTAGCCAGCTAACCAGCTACTTGCTATTAGCCACCGTTAGCGGTTTTCACCCAGAACATTGGATTTTCTGCTGGAATAACTGAATCACTGGACCTTAACACCGGATCGCAACCAGCTAGCCGCAACCGAATGGATGTTGCTGTTGGCTAATCACCACTGCCCCCGAAGCAAGCACCAGTTAGCCTTGAGCTATCCTCGAGCCAGGCCCATATCCCGTCTATCTACCTCTCTGTCTACCAGACGGGAGTAGCCAGCTAACTAGCTACTTGCTATTAGCCACCGTTAGCGGGATTTTTCACCATTGTCCGTGGCTGACTAAATACTTTTTTTCCCCACTGTAAGTATTTGACCCCCTCTCAATCAGAAAGATTTCTGGCTCCCAGGTGTCTTTTTATACAGGTAACGAGCTGAGATTAGGAGCACACTCTTAAAGGTAGTGCTCCTAATCTCAGCGTGTTACATGTATAAAAGACACCTGTCCACAGAAGCAATCAATCAATCAGATTCCAAACTCTCCACCATGGCCAAGACCAAAGAGCTCTCCAAGGATGTCAGGGACAAGATTGTAGACCTACACAAGGCTGGAATGGGCTACAAGGCCATCACCAAGCAGCTTGGTGAGAAGGTGACAACAGTTGGTGCGATTATTCGCAAATGGAAGAAACACAAAAGAACTGTCGATCTCCCTCGGCCTGGGACTCCATGCAAGAACTCACCTCGTGGAGTTGCAATGATCATGAGAACGGTGAGGAATCAGCCCAGAACTACACGGGAGGATCCTGTCAATGATCTCAAGGCAGCTGGGACCATAGTCACCAAGAAAACAATTGGTAACACACTACGCCGTGAAGGACTGAAACCCTGCAGCGCCCGCAAGGTCCCCCTGCTCAAGAAAGCACATATAAAGGGCCATCTGAAGTTTGCCAATGAACATCTGAATGATTCAGAGGAGAACTGGGTGAAAGTGTTGTGGTCAGATGAGACAAATCGATCTCTTTGGCATCAACTCAACTCGCCGTGTTTGGAGGAGGAATGCTGCCTATGACCCCAAGAACACCATCCCCACCGTCAAACATGGAGGTGAAAACATTATGCTTTGGGGGTGTTTTTCTGTTAAGGGGACAGGACAACTTCACCGCATCAAAGGGACGATGGACGGGGCCATGTACCGTCAAATCTTAGGTGAGAACCTCCTTCCCTCAGCCAGGGCATTGAAAATGGGTCGTGGATGGGTATTCCAGCATGACAATGACCCAAAACACACGGCCAAGGCAACAAAGGAGTGGCTCAAGAAGAAGCACATTAAGGTCCTAGAGTGGCCTAGCCAATTTCCAGACCTTAATCCCATAGAAAATCTGTGGAGGGAGCTGAAGGTTCGAGTTGCCAAACGTCAGCCTCAACCTTAATGACTTGGATAAGATCTGCAAAGAGGAGTGCAACATAATCCCTCCTGAGATGTGTGCAAACCTGGTGGCCAACTACAAGAAACGTCTGACCTCTGTGATTGCCAACAAGGGTTTTGCCTACCAAGTACTAAGTCATGTTTTGCAGAGGGGTCAAATACTTATTTCCCTCATTAAAATGCAAATCAATTTATAACATTTTTGACATGCGTTTTTCTGGATTTTTTTGATGGTATTCTGTCTCTCACTGTTCAAATAAACCTACCATTAAAATTATAGACTGATCATCTCTTTGTCATTGGGCAAACGTACAAAATCAGCAGGGGATCAAATACGTTTTTTTCCCTCACTGTAGGTTGTGCGCTCTGCAAATAACGTGTCCACTCCGACAATGAGAACGGTAAACGACTGGAATACTTATATATTTAATGCATTACCAGACATTACCGTGACCAAATAAACATTGTAGATTCGAAATTATAGGAATTAACGGTAACTGGTGATATATGTAATGGGTAAAACATTCAGTTTTCAAACAATTAAGTATACGTTTTCAAAATACATACTACCTTCAGCTCATTGCAAAGTGGTGTGTGACGCGCTGATGAAGCCTGCCTTCCGATGCATTTGCTGTTTGAGATGCTGTAGCAGCAACTCTCGCGCTGTCTGACAGATTTCACGCTCAAACGCTCTGTATCTGTACTCGTGTGATGCTAATTAACTTATCGATTGATAAGCATGACCAGTAAAATGTATTTCAATCAACGAATAGGCTAAAAAGCTTTATTTCGCAATGTGATTTTTGAAATTGTTTTTCTTCTTCTGGACAATTGGCCAACTGCAATTTTATTTATTGGCTTTTCGCATGTTTTATCGGCCAAAAGCCGGCTATTACCGGCTAACGGAAACCCTGGTGTGTGTGTATCACTCACAGATGAATCCTTTTCTTGCTCCTGTTTCCAGATACTCAGCTCTGTAAAGACGTGAGGAATATGACTGCTGAGACACTTAACTTCGGCCCAGAATGGTAACTCATCTTTTCTTCTTCAACTCTTCTGTCCATCTACCTCTCTTCCTCTCTACTCTGTCCTTACCACTTTATATTCCGTACTGGACAGGCTTCAAAAATGCTTTCTTTCCCTTAACTTCCCCTTCTTCTCCTTGTATTCTATCAATTTCCTCCTCTCCTGGGTGCTGAGTCCTCAGTACCGTATTTTCCGCACTATAAGGCGCACCGGAGTATAAGCCGCAAGAGCTAAATTGAATGATATTGAATGATGTGTACATATATAAGCCGCACTGGACTATAAGCCACAGGTGTTTTAATGTTTAATTACCATATGTAAGGGTTCGTGCACAGAGGGGATTGTCGGGAAAGAGACAAACTGTCTCGCTCTCGTAATGTCTGTCTGTCTGGCTCTCGTTCTGTCTCTCGTACCACTCTCGGTTCCACTTTTACTTTTGCTCGCTACCTGTCTCACTCTTTTCCGGCCTCCAGCTTTTCCTGCTGGAGCCCGCCGCTTAAAGGTGGGGGGCGCGGACCGGTCATAGAGCCCATAGAGTTAAATTTGGTGGACTGTAACCTGTAAAATCCATAGATTTAGGAGGTCTTCTAGTGGCCGTTAGCTGTAAAAATCCATAGATTCGCCGCACCGTTATATAAGCCGCAGGGTCGAAAAAAGGATGGCTTATAGTCCGAAAATTACGGTAAATGTTTGTGTGGAGATTAATTTGAGGAAGGAGGGAGGCGTAGGCCCTGGTTTGGTAGCTGGACACCTCTAATAGACTGACTACTGGCTGGCTGCTGTGCCGTGTGCGTTTTGGTGCTCCACCAACCACCAGGGACCGTATCCACAAAGCGTCTCAAAGTAGAAGTGCTGATCTAGGATCAGTTTAGCCTTTTAGATCATAATGAATAACATTGGACTATATGGACAGATCCTAGATCAGCATTCCTACTGTGAGACACTGCGGATACGGGCCCAGATCACTCCTCAGACTTCTGTTTACGTGTGGCAACTTCTAAAGTACCGGCTGTCGTAGTGGCTTTAGCACTATTCGCACTGGACTGCTATTACTATAGAGCATTGGTTATGTAATTATTACCCCATCATGTCCGTTTTTCCAGTGGACGATTCGGAATGGATTAGTTTGACCAAACTGCCCCGTAATAATTTTTTTCCCGTCATTCAAAATGGACCGTTATGAAGGAAGCCTGGAGGCTCTTCTAGGCATGAAAATATTTCACATGTCTAGGGATAGCCTAATCTTGGCCTAATGGCCCTCAGTTCAGAGATAAGAACCATGAACTGTAACCTATGCAGACATTTAATTACCTGACGTATTTGGCAATTTATCAATTCATTGGCACAATATCGTCCACTTCATCTTTTAAAAGAGAAGTATGGCACTAGCAAAGTTGATATGTGACAAAACAGATTATTTATCTGTAGTTACGTGCATAGCACTTTGTTTTAAGCATGAATTTGGTCCCATGTTCTTACCTAAACTGGGTGCAGCACCTGTTAAACTCTGTAATGTCCCTCAAAACACAGGGATGACGATTCGCACAGGATAAGTATTATCAGAGGACCTGGGAGTTTGCCAAAAAACACTAGGTTTTTAGGGCTGGGATAATAACCTTCCTGCCAAGTAAAAATTACTGCCAAGGCAGATTCAGACAGGAAAAAAATGATGGATGTGGTGATTTATGCTTGTGCACATAATTACATTACCTGAGCTCACCCACTAAAACTTATCCCGTCCGAATAGGGCTTTTGTCAAATGTCTGTAAAATAGAGCTATTGCTTGTGGCACGACATGTCTTGGTATCTAGCCCGTTTCATTAGACATTCTTCAATTAAATGCTCAGGTAAGATTATGGTAAGTTTGTGCTGTTTGCCAAGAAGTGAGGTGATATGATGAGTGTGTGTGTGTGTGTTGACTGTGTTCTCCTCTTCCTCCCCCAGGCTCCGTGCACTATCCAGTGGGGGGAGTGTGACGTCCCCCCCTCCTTCCCCCGCCATGCCAAAGTACAAGCTGGCCGAGTATCGCTACGGCCGGGAGGAGATGTTAGCACTTTATATCAAAGAGAACAAGGTGAGGAGGGGGAAGCCACACCGTGCTCAGTCTTATGAAAGACCAAGAAGTCTCATCTCTACTACTACTACTACACCACTACTACCACTACTACACCACTAATACACCACCACTACTACTACCACTACCACTAATACACCACCACTACTACTACCACTACTACACCACTACTACTACTACACCACGACCACTACTACTACCACTACCACCTATGCATTTTAGTCCAGGAGTAGGCTAAATCTGGGTCTGTGCAACCTGCCCTAATTTTGTAAGCTGGCCTGTTGTGACTTGCCAATGTGAGAGGCTATGCTATAATTGTGTAGTTGAGTATTGGATCATTCCAATCCTATAGGAAGTAGTGTTTGTTTACATTGTGTTGTTGTGTCCAGGCCCCAGAGGACATGCAGGATAAGGAGTTTGCTGCTATTCTGCAAGATGAGCCCATGCAGCCGCTGGCACTGGAGCCTCTCACTGAGGAGGAGCAGGTCGGTCACACACACACACACACACACACACACACACACACACACACACACACACACACACACACACACACACACACACATACACTTGTTCCCACCCAACTGACATTCTGTACATTCCTCCATTCTCTTCTACCAGAGAAACTTCTCCATGTCTGTGAACAGCGTGGCTGTGATGAGGCTCATGGGTAAAGGAGGTGGAGTCGCCCCAGCGGGCGTGGCCCGAGGCAGAGGCGCCACACGAGGAGGAGGCCGAGGTGAGAAACACAAGTGTTGTTGCCCTCTAGACACTAATCTATGATCAGATTTGTTTTTCCCCACAAATGGTTAACTTTAGGATTTAGGCAGGGTAAGTTGATCCCAGATCTGTGCCTATGGGTACATTCTAACCAAATGAAAGGAGCACTGAGCTCAAGCCAGAACAACTCCACGAAAGGAAAACAGTTTATTTAAGCCAGGCTTGCTTTTATGTGTTTTGCTTTTGCGATCACATCTGACGTCTGTGATTCCTCTTGGCCCTGTCTAAATAGTCCCTGTCTTACTGCCTTACTTATGTGCTCACCTTGTTAAACTCACAGTACTGATGTACTCCCCTTGCTTACACAGCGGTGTGTGCATATGAATCTCAAGTGTGTCCGGTCTGGTACAGTGAAGGAAATGGCAGTTGGAGTGTTTGAGTGTGATTTTGATCGTGTCTCTGTGTGTTCTTGTTCCAGGGCGAGGCCGAGGAGAGAGTGGAGGATTCTACCAAAGAAGTATTGAGGAGGGAGAGGTGGGCTTCGGCCGCGGAGCCAGAGAAATCTATCGCAGCCAGAGCTGGGATGACAGGTAAACACTCACTGCCTCTGTTACTACCCTGTCTCTCTCTACTGTTTCACTCATTCCCCATTTGCCTTAAAATCTGAAATGATGCGTCATTTTAGGATGTGAATGAGAAGCTTATTGGTTACTAAGTAACTGGAAGAGCAATTAGATGAGATGTAATTGAAATTGTTGAAGGTGCCCTTCATCCAACTGACTCATCTTTCAGAAATGATCCTCCCCACTCAGAGAAAGGTAAGGCTTGAAATGTAAGAGGAACTTCTGAGTATTTTCCAAGTTTCCCCCTCTCTCTCCTCCCCCAGGGGCGAGAGGCGTTTTGAGAAGCCTGCGCGTGCCAGGGAGGGTGTACGTGTTGGATTAGAGGAGGTGACGGGTGTCCCTGTGCCGGGGGTGCCGAGGAAGGACTACACACGGTCCGACAGTGAGAACTGGCGTACCCTCCGAGAGGAGCAGGAGGAAGAGGAGGGGGCCGACCCAGGAGGCAGCTGGAGACTGGCCGGAGCACGTAGATTAGATGGTAGCACACACAAACACACACACTCACACATACACTATTCTGGAGACATACATGCACAGAGTGATGTCAGCTTATTTGTCATGTCACTTTAGCTGGAGGAGAAACTGTACATGTTGTATGAATCGCTCATGGAATTCTCTCTTTCCCTCCCATCTCTCTCTCTTTCAGACGGAGGTCCAAGGTCAGCAGGCTGGCGGGAGCATGACGGTCCGGTTGAGGGGCGTCGCAGGAAGTTTGAGTTTGACTTCGGCGGAGGTCGCAAGCGGGCTGGGAGCGAGGGGTTAGAGGACGACAGAGACGGACTGCCTGAGTGGTGCACTGATGAAGAGGAAGGAGAGATGGGCACCTTTGACGCATCCGGAGCCTTCCTCCCCCTATCCAAGGTAGGGTGTTGGTGTGTGTTAGTGTGCATGCGTGGAGGTTGTCAACAAATGTGCACGTCTTTCTGTGTCTAGTTATTCTGTGAATTCAGTTGGTGGGTGACAGTAATAAATATTCAGCTAATCATAACTCTCTCTCCTCTCTCTCTCTCTCTGTCAAAGGATGGGAAGGATGAGGAGTTTGACTTCCAGGGGATTGAGGAGGAGGAGGAAGAGGGGGAGAGCCTGTCTGACATGGAGAGGATCATGAATGGAGGACAGAGAGGTGAGGGAGCTGAACTCTTTCTTATCTTTATTTACCTTTAGTTTCTTTACAGTTGATATCTTTATCTCAGTCAACTCATGGTATCTCAAGGTTTATAAGTGTTTTCCATCTCAATCTCTATTCTTATTCAAAAGAATAAAAAACAAACATGTTCTATTTACTGGCCTTTTCTTTCCTCATCTCCTCATCCTCTTTCCTCATCTCCTCATCCTCTTTCCTCATCTCCTCATCCTCTTTCCTTATCTCCTCATCCTCTTTCCTCTCTAGTTGACGTAAAGGAATCAGCCAGTGATGGGGAGGTGAAGAACAGAACCAGTCCCCCCTCCTCCTCTCCCCCTGCCCCTCCAGCCCTGGGCCTCAACCCCCCCATGCCCCAGCTCTCCCTCACCGTGGCTGAGCTGGAGGCCTCTCAGATGGCCAACAGCCACCCTCTTCCTGTTCCTCTCCCTCTTCCTGTTCCTCTCCCTCTTCCTGCTCCTCTCCCTGTTCCTGTCCCTGCCAAGGCCAGCAAGATGCCAAGTGAAGGTACTAGTGTTCTGTGTGTACTCTTTCTTTCTCTCTTTAATGAACTTTAAATGATTGAATTTCACAGAGCATGTGAAAAAGAAACCATATATAGATAGGAATTGTGTGAAAACTAGCCCTATTCACCAACGTCCTCAAATGTAAAGGACAATTCTCTGTGTGTTTTAACTGTACACCAGTCCTCCCCCACTGACTTATTGCTCTGTTGTTGTAGTAGTTCCTGAAGGATCACCAGCAGGGGGCTCCACCACCCAGCAGAGTCACAGCACCACCTCCAGTCTGCCTCCACCCCCTCACTCCTCCTCCTCTGCTGCTACCCACCTCCCCCCGCCACCGGGGGGCGACACCGAGGACGACGAGGGCATGAAGCACCTGCAACAGGTACGAACACTACTAGTCTGGGGGCTGGTTTCCCAGACACATATGAAGCCCTCGACCAAAAAGCACCTTCAATTGAGAATCTCCTTTTTGGTTTGGTGTATGACAACGGATCGTCTGAAACACTCCGGTCTCAGTATGTAGTAATATTAGAGGAAACATTGGTAAGAGTTCAGCCCAGATAAGTATTGTACATGTAGTGTCTTCCTCTGTATGCAGGAGGCAGAGAAGATGGTGGCGTCCCTGCAGGACACGTCTCTAGAGGAGGAGGAGTGTTTTACCCAGACTCTGCAGGAGAGAAGAAACACAGCCTCCGCCCTGCCCCTCTCCCACGACGCAGCCATGAAGTGGTTCTACAAGGACCCACAGGCAGAGATCCAGGGTACACACACACACACAGTCGCAACATATATACACACTTGCACGTAGGCCAAATGTGGGGAGACACACACAATCACATGTACACATACAAACCCATACATACCAGTGGAGGCTGCTGAGGGGAGGACGGCTCACAATAATGGCTGGAACGGAGCCATTGTAATGGCATCAAACACGTTTTTTTATATTTGATACCATTCCGCTCTAGCCATTACCACGAGCCCATCCTCCCCAATTAAGGTGTCACCAACCTCTTGTGATACACACACACACACACACACAGGACGTTTCAGATACCCTAGGCAACAACTTGTACCTCTCAACTGTCTACCATCTCATAACATCCTCCCTCTCTGCCTCTTTTCTCCTATACCTTATTTTTGTGTCACTACTCTCCCTCTCCCTTCTCTCCCCTGTAGGTCCGTTCACCACCCTGGAGATGTGTGAGTGGTTCCAGGCGGGCTACTTCTCCATGTCTCTGCTGGTAAAGAGGGGCTGCGACGAGGGCTTCCAGCCGCTGGGCGACGTCATCAAGATGTGGGGGCGCGTGCCTTTCGCCCCCGGGCCCTCCCCGCCGCCCCTGCTGGTGAGACCTCCACCACCGCGCCCTCAGCCGCTGCCACCCCGGGGTCCTGCTGTGAGTGAGGTAGCTGGGGATAGGGTGGGGGGATGGGAGGATGGTATGTGGAGTTTGCTGGAGGGGTAACAAAAGTAGTAGTGTTATTCTGTCTTGCTGATGTTTATGGCGTGGTGTGTGTGTGGAATGTAGAGTATTCCAGATGTATTATCTTAAATGCCACATGTTTTTTTTGTTTGTTCTACGACTACTGTCTAGAGTAGTGCTCAATGCTCTAGTGTCTACTTATTTATAGTGTAGTAATCTATTGTTGTATTTGTACAATAGAAGTTGATGTAATCAGATCAAATTTATTTATAAAGCCCTTTTTACATCAGCAGATGTCACAAAGTGCTTATACAGAAACCCAGCCTAAAACCCCAAACAGCAAGCAATGCAGCAGGTCCGGGACAAGGTAGAACGTCCGGTAAACAGGTCAGGGTTCCAAAGCCGCAGGCAGAGCAGTTCAAACTGGAGCAGCAGCACGACCAGGTGGACTATGGGCAGCCAGGAGTCATCAGGCCAGGTAGTCCTGAGGCATGGTCGTAGGGCACAGATCCTCTGGGAGGGAGAGAGAATTAGAGGGAGCATACTTCAATTCACACAGGACACCAGATAAGACAGGAGAATTACACCAGATATAACAGACTGACCCTAGCCCCCCCGGCACATAGACTACTGCAGCATAGATACTGGAGGCTAAAAATGGTAGGGTTTGCTCTTGCTGTGTTTTATGAGATGTGTGTGTGTGTGTGTGTGTGTGTGTGTGTGTGTGTGTGGACATTGAGCTGTTCATGTAGCCTGTATGTATCTCCTATGTGTGTGATTGTTCCTGTATTTGTCCTGTGTGTTCCTCTCAGGGTAACATGGATCAGGATCGTCTGAAGAAGCAGCAGCAACAGGACTTGGCAGCAGCAACCCTCTATCAACAGCTCCAACAGCAGCAGCAGCTATTCCAGCTCATCAACAGGTACCTAATAGGAAAAAATTACACATTAAGTTTTGTGGAAGATGGAATCGAAGTGGAGCCACTTATCAAATAAAGATGTAACAAAATGAAAAGACTATATCAAAAGAATAATCTTGCATCTGATATCAGGGGTTGGAACCACATTTATTTTCCAATCGTTTCATTCTGAATTAGGCCCACAGAATTATACCTACGGAGGAGCGGCTTCTATGAATTAACTTTGAATGTCTTTGAACTTCAGAGAGTTGGACCAGCTAGCTAGCTAGCTAGCTAACAAGCTTGTGTGTGCAGAGCGGAACCAGAATTTAAATAAAAACACGTCTTACCTTTTTGTAGTTAATAAATCCAATGTGAAACGTGATAACTATAGTATCCTTAGCTAGCATTGAAAAGGTTAATCCATTCTTCTCTGTAATAAAAAATGTATCTCCCTCATTTCTGAATCACGCTTGTTATGTCAGTAGGCTACTACAATCGTGGTCAAAAGTTTTGAGAATGACACAAGTATTGGTCTTCACAAAGTTCGCTGCTTCAGTGTGATGAGATATTTTTGTCAGATGTTACTATGGTATACTGAAGTATAATTACAAGCATTCCATAAGTGTCAAAGGCTTTTATTGACAATTACATAAAGTTTATGCAAAGACTCAATATTTGCAGTGTTGACCCTTCTTTTTCAAGACCTCTGCAATCTGCCCTGGCATGCTGTCAATTAACTTCTGGGCCACATCCTGACTGATGACAGCCCATTCTTGCATAATCAATGCTTGGAGTTTGTCAGAATTTGTGGGGTTTTGTTTTTGAGGATCGTCCACAAATTCTCAATGGGATTAAGGTCTGGGGAGTTTCCTGGCCATGGACCCAAAATGTTGATGTATTGTTCCCCGAGCCACTTAGTTATCACTTTTGCCTTATGGCAAGGTGCTCCATCATGCTGGAAAAGGCATTGGTCGTCACCAAACTGTTCTTGGATGGTTGGGAGAAGTTGCTCTCCAAGGATGTGTTGGTACCATTCTTTATTCATGGCTGTGTTCTTAGGCAAAATTGTGAGTGAGCCCACTCCCTTGGCTGAGAAGCAACCCCACACATGAATGGTCTCAGGATGCTTTACTGTTGGCATGACACAGGACTGATGGTAGCGCTCACCTTGTCTTCTCCGGACAAGCTTTTTTCCGGATGCCCCAAACAATCGGAAAGGGGATTCATCAGAGAAAATGACTTTAGCCCAGTCCTCAGCAGTCCAATCCCTGTACCTTTTGCAGAATATCAGTCTGTCCCTGATGTTTTTCCTGGAGAGAAGTGGCTTCCTCGCTGCCCTTCTTGACACCAGGCCATCCTCCAAGTCTTCGCCTCACTTTGCGTGCAGATGCACTCACACCTGTCTGCTGCCATTCCTGAGCAAGCTCTGCACTGGTGGTGCCCCGATCCCGCAGCTGAATCAACTTTAGGAGACGGACCTGGCACTTGATGGACTTTCTTGGGCGCCCTGAAGCCTTCTTCACAACAATTGAACCTCTCTCCTTGAAGTTCTTGGATGATCCGATAAATGGTTGATTTAGGTGCAATCTTACTAGCAGCAATATCCTTGCCTGTGAAGCCCTTTTTGTGCAAAGCAATGATGATGGCACGTGTTTCCTTGCAGGTAACCATGGTTAACAGAGGAAGAACAATGATTTCAAGCACCACCCTCCTTTTTAAAGCTTCCAGTCTGTTATTCTAACTCAATCAGCATGACAGAGTGATCTCCAGCCTTGTCCTCATCAACACTCTCACCTGTGTTAACGAGAGAATCACTGACATTATGTCAGCTGGTCCTTTTGTGGCAGGGCTGAAATGCAGTGGAAATGTTTTTTGGGGATTAAGTTCATTTTCATGGCAAAGAGGGACTTTGCAATTCATCTGATCACTCTTCATGACATTCTGGAGTATATGCAAATTGCCATCATCAAAACTGAGGCAGCAGACTTTGTGAAAATTAGTATTTGTGTAATTCTCAACTTTTGAGCATGACTGTAGACTATGCTTTGGAAGGGAAGGGACAAGTTGCCTACGCAAACACACTGGCAAAGATTTTCAGCAGTCAAGCAGACACTGGAATACGTTTCTGAGTGACAGAGTGAGGGCTTTGCATAGGCTATTTTTGTGGGACTGGAAAAAAAATGCCCTGAACGGAAAAGATGTTATTAATCTGTTCCCATGCTTTTAAAATAACGGTTCTGTTCCGGAACAGTATAGATAACTTTCGTTCCTAATTCTGATTCCTCAAATGTCAGTCTTTTCCAGTTTTCGGTTCTGTCCCCTTAACCGGTTCCAACCCCTGTCTGATAAGCATTTCCCTTGCAGTTTCCATGTTTTACAAGTCTCTTGCTTTTCTGTTCTAGGTGTGGAGAGCAGGGTATGATGCCTTCAGTGAACAGGTCGATGTCAGTGCCAGATACAGGGTCCATGTGGGACATGCATACCTCAGCTTCACAGCAATCAGGTACACACGCATACGTATACATTCATCAATCAATGTCAGTGCTTGTGAATTTTTTGCTCACTGCCACAGTATAGAGTGGGATGACTTTCCAACATTCTCTTATCCCCCCCTCTCTTCTGTCCATGCAGGCGGTGAAGCCAGTTTATGGGACTTAACAATGAATTCTTCAACTCAGGGTCCAACTCTCGAACAGCTTCAGAAGGTGAGTGCTGGCGCCCTCTGGTTGTGGGAACCTAGTAACACACTGTTGTAGATTTCCACATATGTGACTGACCGCCTCGATTCTGTCTTATGTAGAAACATTTGAAATGGTGTTTTTTACATTGGATAAAAGAGACAGCTAGAAAATGGTATATCATACACAGCAGTTGAGGAACAATGGGAAAGTAAAACTGCTTTGAAAGTTGATAAACTTGTAACCCCACTTTTGAGAAAATGCTTTTGAATGTTTTGGTACACCTACTGGATATTTCTTCTTTGTCTACAACCATTCAGTATCGTTCACACCGTCTTAAGCCTTAGCCACACCCATCTCTTTAAGGATCCACATGTGAGGCCATGTGCTAAACAGAGTGAGTAGTGTAGTTAACAACCAAAGATTTAAAGTAGCCTACAATAAGCGGAAAACTCCAGGTAAAAATACACTTTATCTAGTCCTTGGCCTATATCCTAATCTGACTTTGGTGCAGGTCATGTTGTTCACATTACAGTCTCTGGTAAACACACACTATATCAAATCAAATCTAAGTTTATTTGTCACATGTACGGGATACAGAAGGTGTAAATGGTACAGTGAAATGGTTACTTACATAGTAGCAATATCAAAAACAGAAAGTGTCCAGATAAAAATATTTTATAATTATTAGATGACGCTTACCTGACACACTTGTCTAAATTGATGGGTCATGTGAAGGAAATGCTATAACCACCCCCCAGGACCATCTAGCTAAGTGGATGGGTCACTATTGTCTAGACATGTACACATGTTCATGAAATACAATAGATGGCCGTAATCACCCCCAGACACACCTGGCAAACTTGAGTGGAGTCTTTTGTTTAGACATGTAGCTAGCTAAACAATGAACCGGCATAATCCCAACTCCTACTATCAATACAAACATTGTCATAGCTGTAGTATGAATCTACAAGTAGCTAAAGCTAACCAACTAGGTTCAATATTAGCTAGCTAGCAATGCAAATGGTTTTCTGATTTGAATAATATTACTACACAGATCATACACGTAACGTTACCTAGTGAGCCAGCAAGCTAACGTTCACTAGCTAGCTAACAGTCTGCTTTTAACTTGCAATGAAAATTACTTTCTGACAAAATGTGAAACTTAGAATACCGTATACATGGATGAATGCTTCCCGGCAGACTGGAACCATTTAACTCAGTTTTGTTTGGCCAGCGTTGTGTCAAGTCACTCTGGTTCACACTGACCGTGGCGTGTGCAGAAAATAGCCCATCACTCTTTCCCACTGATCTGTATGTAGCGCCTGCTAAGTTCAGGGGCATCAATGTTGTTGAGAAAAGTATCAACTTTTGTAGTTCTCGATGGCTAACGTTATATCTTTCAAAAACGCTGCGGTAGAAAGTACTATCAACAAATACTGAGCAGCTCACATTATAGACCGAAGCATGCTACATGGTAGACCAATCCAAACTCATCTCCCGGAATGTCCAGCCCATCCATTATCTCAGCCAATCATGGCTAGCGGGAAGGTTCCCCTCTTTCCGTGGCTAAACCAACTAAGCTTGTAATTAAACAATTGTATTTGTATTTACAGATGGAATACAAGTTTGTTATGAGGGCACATGAAAGTTCATATGTTCCAGAAGGCATTTCTGCCAAAAAACGCATTTTGAAAAAATAAGTAAAAGACGTTCAAATGCCTCCTGTGAAGTAGTGAGGTGCAATATACGCCTAGTTTCCGGAAATGGGTCACATATATCAAACTGAGGATATCTTTGAACCAAGAGTCTTTCAGTCTCTGAATTAAGCTGGCATGTCTACAGTGCATTGGGAAAGTATTAAGACCCACATTTTGACCCACATTTTGTTACATTACAGCCTTATTCTAAAATTGATTAAATAAAACTGTTGAGGAATTAATCTACACACACGATGATGACGAAGCAAAAACAGGTTTTTAGAAATTTTAGCAAATTAATTACAAATAAATAACAGAAATACCTTATTTACATAAGTATTCAGACCCTTTGCTATGAGACTCGAAATTGAGCTCAGGTGCATCCTGTTTCCATTTATCATCCTTGAGATGTTTCTACAGCTTGATTGGATTCCACCTGTGGCAAATGTAATTGATTGGACATGATTTGGAAAGGCACACACCTGTCTATAAAAGATCCCACAGTTAACAGTGCATGTCAGAGCAAAAACCAAGCCATGAGGTCGAAGGAATTGTCCGTAGAGCTCCGAGACAGGATTGTGTCGAGGCACAGATCTGGGGAAGGGTACCAAAAAATGTCTGCAGCATTGAAGGTCCCCAAGAACACAGTGGCCTCCATTATTCTTAAATGGAAGAAGTTTGGAACCACCAAGACTCTACCTAGAGCTGGCCGTCCAGCCAAACTGAGCGATCGGGGGAGAAGGGCCTTGGTCAGGGAGGTGACCAAGAACCCGATGGTCACTCTGACAGAGCTCCAGAGTTCCTCTGTGGAGATGGGAGAACCTTCCATAAGGACAACCATCTCTACAGCACTCCACCAATCAGGCCTTTATGGTAGAGTGGCCAGATGGAAGCCACTCCTCAGTAAAAGGCACATGACAGCCCGCTTGGAGTTTGCCAAATGGCACCTAAAGGACTCTCAGACCATGAGAAACAAGATTCTCTGGTCTGATGAAACCAAGATTGAACTCTTTAGCCTGGATGCCAAGAGTCACGTCTGGAGGAAACCTGGCACCATCCCTACGATGAAGCCTGGTGGTGGAAGCATCATGCTGTGGGGATGTTTTTCAGCGGCAGAGACTGAGAGACTAGTCAGGATCGAGGGAAAGATGAACAGAGCAAAGTACAGAGAGATCCTTGATGAAAACATGCTCCAGAGCGCTCAGGACCTCAGACTGGAGCGACGGTTCACCTTCCAACAGGACAATGACCCTAAGCACACAGCCAAGACAAAGCAGGAGTGGCTTCAGGACAAGTCTCTGAATGTCCATGAGTGGCCCAGCCAGAGCCCGGACTTGAACCCGATCGAACATCTCTGGAGAGATCTGAAAATAGCTGTGCAGCAACGCTCTCCATCCAACCTGACAGAGCTTAAGAGAATCTGCAGAGCAGAATGGGAGAAACTCCCCAAATACATGTGGGCCAAGGTTGTAGCATCATACCCAAGAAGACTCAAGGCTGTAATCACTGCCAAAGGTGCTTCAACAAAGTACTGAGTAAAGGGTCTGAATACTTATGTAAATGTGATATTTCAGTTTTGTATTAGTAATACATTTGCAAACATTTCTACAAACCTGTTTTTGCTTTGTCATTATGGGGCATTGTGTGTAGATTGAAGGGGGAAAAAACAATTTAATCCAATCCAAGGCTGTAACGTAACAGTGGAAAAAGTCAAGGGGTCTGAATACTTTCCGACTGCACTGTATATTCTGGCCCTTTTCTCAAACCTTTTTACATTATGGATAATTTTTCCATGGAAAGCCTAACAAACAAAAATGTGTTGAAACCACTAGATCAATACAGACTGAGCTGTCTTCCACATTGACCCCTGACCTCTGACCCCTATGGCAGCTCCAGCAGGAGAGGAGGGAGGCTGAACTCAGGACGAAGCGCGAAGAGGAGGAGCAGCGCAAGAGGAGAGAGGAGAAAAGGAGGCAGCAGGAGGAGCAGAAGAGGAGGGAGGAGGAGGAGATCTTCAGACGCAAACAGGTGAGTACAAAGATGGAGCTGGTGAAATGGGAAGATTTTTATTGGCTTTTTATTGAAATGTGTGTTTTGTGTCTTGATAGTGTGTGTTCAGTTATTTGCACTGTTGGCTAGTTCGATAACTGTCTGTATGAGTGTGGTTGTGTGTGTATGCTGTGTTGCATTATACCCCACACACACATCAGCATGTCTGTGTATCTTTGTTTCCATCCTATCTTGCACATACCCTCATACTGTGTATGTGTGTGTCTCCCCCTCTCCTCCAGTGTCGCCAGCAGCAAGAGCTGATCATGAAGCTCCTTCAGCAGGCCCCCCAGCAGGGCTCAGGCTCCGGGGTGGGGTCTGGCTGGGGCACTGGGGGCCTCAACAAGCCAGGGGCCAAGGGCCTCAGTCTGCTGGACATGCAGGAGGCCGAGAGGGTTCTCAAACAGCAGCAGAGAGCCCAGCAGCAACAGAGGGAACGCGTGAGTAGTTACTAAAACACACACACAGAAAAGACCACAAAGGAGTATAATAGCATATGCACACATGTAAAGTGTTCTTCAGAATTTCTTGGATTCACTCGGCTTGTGAAAGACTACTCGAATAGCAAGCGATAGACTGTGCAAGCACAGACATGTCATCCACAATTGGGACGAATGAGACCGAGTGCTGACACTCACAATGAGAGGCTGTGGAAATGCTTACAGTGCATTATGATGCTTTGTTGGTCCCCTGTCCACTCTGTTCTAATATTGTTGTTTGATTTCCGCTCTCTCTCTCTCCTCAGCATCAAGGCCTGTCCATGGGGGGTTCCTCCATGGGTCAGTGGGGGGACGGAGGTGCTGTCCCAGGGGGCCTGTGGGGAGGCGGGGGGGGGATGGAGGGTAAGACTGGGGGCGGAGGAGGGTCCGGAGGGGGCATGGGTCTGTGGGAGGAGGCGGTGAAGAACCAGTCCAGAAGCGGCAGCATGCAGGGTCTGAAGAACAGCCGCAGCAGCCCGTCACTCAGGTAGATGTACACAACACATCTAAGTAGATCTCTCACAATACATGCACCCGAAAGCCTCGATCTCCCTTTGTCTAACTCTCCCTCTTTCTCTCCCTGTCTATCCTAGTTGCTCCCCCCCTCCCGTAAACTTTCTCCAACTCGATCTATATTCAAACTCTCACTGAGTTTTTGTGTGCGCTTTAATGTCTCTCCTTGAGTGCTGTGTGTATTTAAATACCCCCTCTCTCTGTCCTTGTGAGCATTAAATGGTTTATGTGACTGTCGGCACATTTGCGTGTGTATTTAACCCATCCCCCCCCCCCCTGTAGTGAGCAGTATATGTTGAGCCGTAGGAAGCAGCGTACGGAGGAGGAGGACAAGCTGCTGAAACTGCTGCAGGGCATCAAGACGCCTCAGGACGGATTCACCACCTGGTGTGAACAGATGCTGCATGCCCTCAACACCCAAGCCAACAACACCTCCTCCCCACTGGACGGTAAGAACGGTGACCTCCTTCTGTTATTCCCTCCTCCTCCTCCTAACCCTCAACACCACCTCACTGGATGTTAAGACACAGTCACCTCCCTCCGTCACTCCCTATCACCCAAGCCTACAAGTCCTCCTCCCCACTGGACGGTAAAATACACCTCCTTCTGTAACTCCACTTAGCTCTTCCAATGCTTTCACAACTTCTCCTCTCCTCTGGACTTGAACTCTTCCACCCTTCCACTCCTTTTCCCCTTAGACCATCACCTCCTAACCCTCAACCCCTCCTAACCCTAACCGTCCTCCTCTTCACTTGATGGAAACACTCTCAACCCTTCAGTCTTTCACCACTCCTCTCCCTCACTCTCTAAATCCCCCTAACTCTTATCTACATGACTTTTGCCTTTGTCCATAATACTTTTTGGTAACACTTTACTTGACATCCAGTGTCATAACACGTTATGATATTCAGAACCATGTCATAACAGCTGACATAACTTGTCATAACCTGTTATAACACTGTCATGACACATATTTAGACCTGTTGTGACATATATTGCGTTATTTTATGGCTGGTTATGACACTGACATAAGTGTCAACACCCATAAAACCTACCACACAAGGCAAAACATTCCATTACAACCATAGCCTACGTGTCAACAGTATGTTTATGTTATTTAAAAAATGGACCATATTAAATTATCATTGTAATTGCGCACACATTGATGTTAGACATGCACCTACCCCAATGTGCTGATGCTGATGACTGGGATGAATGCAGGAGCAGATTTCAGGAGCAGGACAAGACTCTTTTTGACTGATGACTGATATAAGGGCCTGTACGTGATAGGTCTATCTGGCTTATATGATAAAGATGGTCATAATGCTTCTTGACAGCGTCATAAAGTGTGTTTTTACAAGTTGTTTAAAATATGATGAAAAAAACATGACTGTAAAGAATTCATTACAACAACAAAGGATTTAAGAAATTAACTTTCAAACGAAAGGGAACTTCTTGGCAGGGGAAAAATGAATTTGAATAAATGTGGGTTTTGACACTTATGTAGGTGTCATAACCAGGCATAAAATAACGCAATAAATGTCACGAGGTATAAATATATGGGTCATGACAGTGTTATGACCATATTATGACAGGTTTTGACAAGTTATGTCAGCTGTTCTGACGTATTGTGACATGGATATGACCGTTTCGTAATGTGTTATGACACTGGGTGTCAAGTAAAGTGTTACCTACTTTTCTTTCTCTCTCACCTGTCTCTCATATCTGTTCTAATCTGTATCAGCATGTGTGTGTTTACAGTGTCCACCATCGTGGCGTACCTGAAGGAGGTAGAGTCTCCATACGAGGTGTTGGACTTTATCTGCTCCTACCTGGGAGACACTATGGAAGCCAAAGTGTTCGCCAAGCAGTTCCTGGAGCGCCGTGCCAAACAGAAACAGAACCAGAAGAGGCAGCAGGAGCAGGTGTGTGTTTTGTCTGTCTGTCTCAGATGGAGTGTTATGATGATGAGTGTGTCCGTGGTTCAAGTATGTTAGTTTGTGTGCGTCGTTCAGACAGGGCAGGGCACACACACCCGTCATCGCACTATCTCAGTGCATATCATGTTATTTTAGTTGATCTTCTACCGTCCTCTCTCCACTTAGCTATCAAAGGAAGTAGCAGGGCTGACCATGAACAACTTCCCTCTGCAGGTAAGACCTTTCTCTCACCTGTCTCTCTGCTACGACTGGGCACAGTGGACAAAAATCTAGGTCCTTGATTCCTCACGTCCTCTCACCTCTTTCTCAAAACGTATTGGAGGAGAAGAGATGGGAACAAGTAGAGAGGATGCGAGGAATCAAGGAAAGACTCCCAGTGTCTCTTTCCTCTCTGTACCTCACTGGATATCTCCTAATTCCTCTTCTCCAGGACTCCATGCGGGGGGTGAACCCCAGCGCCCTGCAGTCCGTGTTCCAGGCGGCCCACATGGCTAAGGGAGGGATGTACGACGCCCAGGGGGGCATGAAGAAGAAGAAACAACCCGTGATGCTGCAGTCTGACCCCAGCATCCTAGGTAAGACATGTCCTCCTCAACTCATTTACACTTACGACTTATTGCACACTTGTTACAAATGTATCAATTCACAATGTATTACCGGAGTATGATCTGTGACCACCCAGCTCTGGGAAAACTCTGCAAACCTGCCTGGTGGATGTTCTCTTCAGCTGCTCATAGATCTTGGTCGTAACTGATTGAATTGCTCTATGCCTTCTCTAAATTGCTGTCTCCTGCATCCACCTCTACCCCCGCCTTTTCCATCCTCCTCCTTTTCTCTTTCTCTCTCCCCTCCTCTCCAGGCTACTCATTCCACAACGCGGGCGAGCGTCTGAGCCTGACTGAGATGGAGATGGTGGAGGATTACTGATCCAGATCTGATCAGCAGCGGCAATAGCTACTACCTGAGGCCTTCTGTCTACTAATCAGACAAACCTGATGACGAATGTGCACTGCTAGGGGATGGGAGAGAGAGGGGGGGAGCTCGTATGGGGACAGGAAGGAGAGGATTGTTTCACTGCCTCCCCAGAAAAGAGCAGGGCTCCTCTCCTTCAATCGTTCACTTGAGTTGGGAGCGGGATGGGGTGAAAGCGGGAGTGATGGGTATCCCTTGGCACTTGTAAGACTAAGCACCTTAAACTGAACTAATGCACTTTATTATTAAGAGGGGGTTGAATCTTTTTTTGTTTTTGTTTTTACGAATACAGAATCAGTGTACGTACGGTGTGTGTGTGTATTGAATCTACATGCGATGCCGTACGTATACATGTGAAAATCTGAACTGGAAGGGTGAGGTGTATGATTGGTGGGATAGGCTCACTGGGAGGGGGAACTCAAAGGTAGAGGGGACCTTTATTTTGAAACCTTATCAGAAAAACCAATCCTTTAAAGACAAACACTGTTGATGTTTTTTTTTTAAGACAATACATTTATATAAAAAGTAAAGCTATTACAAAAAAATTGATACAAAAAAACTTGAAGATTTGCACTTGTGTTAAAAAAAGAAAGATAAAACAAAAAACAAAAACAAATGAGGTTAGGTATAGAGATTAATATTTTGTGTGTGTGAATGTGTGAGGGCCGGTGTGTATCAGAAACATACTAGTCTGCACAATGTATATATTTTTTCCATTGCTTACCAAGATGTATGAAAACACAACAGGCCATTATGTCATTTGGTTCAAATGAGATTTTTTTTTTTTTCATGAGTAGAATGTCTGTCCTCTTCTACAGAGAGACTTTCTTTGTATACTTGTGTGTGAGACAGAGAGAGGGGGCAATCCCACAACACATCCTTTCTCTCACCAGCTCTTCATCCCCAGATAGACGTAGTAGAAATACATACATTTGTAGAGGAGGATTATGGCTTATGTTGTTGACCACCACTTGTTTATTTTTTTCTGGGGTTTTTTGGGGTACGGGTCTTCTCTCAGCCACAGTCTCTGAGCCTCTGTGAGGTTTCAAACAGACGGGTGAGGATCTTTAGTGTGTGTGTGTGTGTGTGTGTGTGTACGCCTGTTTCTTTACTAATCATAGCAAAGAAGTGATCCCTACAGGTACCCATCTCTGTGTGAATATGCATGCACATTTTTGCCTTAGAACTCTGAAAGGGTGAATGGGAGGGAATGTTTAATGGCCATTGAGACATTAACTACTTTTTGAGTGTACTGTTATGTTAAAGGAGAATTTAACTATTTTTAGGGACTTCATCTTTATTTTTGATGTAAATGGCATGTTATATATATTTTTTGCAATTTCACTTGGTTTTGAGAAACTTACACCAGCAGCGATTTGACTTCCTGAGCCTCATTCTGGAGTTCCAGGGCATCCAAAAAAAATGAACAAAGTCTCCAAAAACACCCAAATATGTCCTTTTACAAATATGTCCTTTTCTCAGTATCGTGATGCAGGTCTTTTAGATGCTGTACACATGAAAGTGTCATTCCAAACTTTATTCACAATGTTATAATCCATTTTGTGGAACTCAAGCGATATTGGCATGCATGCGTGTACTTCCTTGTTCCCAATTCCTCTCGCTACTGTGCGCTACAGGTAACTACAAAAATAAAGCAAACACTTGAGTAAATGAAGCTTTTCTGGCGGCTCGTGGTGGCCCAACACCCTATTAAGACACCATGTTGGTGTTTTCTTTATTTTTATACCTGTAGCTAGTTACTTTGTCTGTACACGCATGCAAGCGCAGGAAATTGTGGCTCGCGTTCCACAAAATGGATTATGACGTTGCGGATAAAGTTAGGAATGACACATTTTCATGTGTACAGCATCTAAAGACCTGCATCAAGATACAGAGCTTTGCTGTTTGTAAAAGGGGGTGTTTTGGAGACTTTGTTCATGTTTTTTGGATGCCCTGGAACTCCAGGCTCAGGAAGTCAATCCCTGCTGGGGTAAGTTTTTCAAAACCAAGTGAAATTGCAAAAAGAAGTGTCAGGAAACCTTCTAGAACAAAATAAAGATTAGGTTCTTAATTAAATTCTCTTTTAAGCGCTCTGCACGGTCAATGTGCATGTCAGTCGTATATCTTAATATTTCTAGTATAGCCTGGGGATGATGATGATTCTTTGCAAGGTTAGTTCGGTTTAGCTTTCCTGGGATGTGATCACGTTGCCTTGTCGGCTCTCTTTAACTTGCGTGTGAAAGATGTTGAGTTTCAGATTCTGCTCAAAACAATTGGCATCAAACTGTCTGTGTACAGGATGGTGCACAAAATGTTAGCATATTCTTGTTACTTATTAATTGTTGTTACTATTGATGGTGGTGACATTTCTTTTTTTTCTGAATATAAATGAACATTTCTATGAATATATATATATATATATATATACATACATACATACATACATACATACATACATACATACATATACAAAGAAAAAAAAGAAAGTATTTGGACTAAGATTATGATGAGCACTTGGGGCTGCTATTTTATGTTATTTTATCATTACCGCCATGTGAAGTGCGTTTGTTATTTCTTTCTTAAGAAAACATTGAATGTATTCCCCCCTCCAAAAAAAAAGACAAGAAACCGTGATGATACCGGATATTTTCCTCACAATTTCAACAACAACAAAAAAACTCAGATTGAAGAGGTCTTTCCTCTTTTCTTTGTTTACACAGAGGAAGAACTCGGGATGGCTACAGTTGATCCCGCTGCCTCCGCAATCCTGTTCTTACGAAAACAATATTACTATGAAAAATAAAGAAGACTCTTTTTTCTATTCCTTACTGGAGTTTTGGTTGTTTACAAAACACACAGATTTCTGTGGGTGCAGTTTTTTTTGTGTAGGGGTGGGGTTTTGCAAGTGTGCTTTTGCAATATGGACATTCATTGGCGTACATTGTTTTTGGCGGGGAGGAGGAATGACATCACAATGTGACGGACAATATCCTTGCCCTTTGACCCTTAAGTGGGCGTGGCTCTTTGGAACTGACTGATCCTCAAGGAGCGTAGGAGAAAGAAATCAACAACAAGAAAATTGTATTTTGTTGGTTTTGGGGGAGTTTATTAGTGTGGCTTCTGGTTTCATTTTTTATTTTATTTTTTTATTTACTGCATATATTGAAAGGAGTAGAAAGCTTTATAAAAAAAAGCAGAGCACAGCAGAGGAGTTTTTGGTACTTCGAACACTAAACAACAATATCATCGCTTTAATACAACAAAATTGCCCTGGAGTGAAACTGTGGAGTTTCATTTTTTTTATCCACAAAAGTAAAAGAAACAAAGATGGACAAACCTGTGAGGGGTGGACAAGAATAAAGGGAATTTGAAGATTTTGTAAAACTGTACATACACATGACATTGACCTCAAATCTACCATTTCATTTGATTGGACTGTGCAGGCAGAATTTGTTCCTTTTTATTATAATTTTTTAAAAGGGGGCTCAGGGTGTGCAGTGGGAGTGTATTAACCCTGCAATGAGGGGAAATGGAAGGGTACTAGTACTGATCCCTGGGGGACACCCCTCAACACTCACACCCTGCCCTGACACTCACTATGCACTTTCAAACTGAGGTTCCATCACATTTGGGACGGGAGCACAGAAATATTATAGTACAAAGGGAGGGTTGGAAAATGTAACTTTATGAGTTTAGTTAACCATCTCACTGAAAAAAAAGAGATTCAAACCGAAACGAAAGACTTAGGAACACACCTTCTTCCTCCTGTACATAACCATATTTTTGTATGACCTTTTTTAGAAAATCACTTGGCGAAAACTACAAGGCTTGATTTAAAAAACAAAACCGATGAAAGAAACAGATTTACAGAGTGAATGTTCCTCAAGGAAACATTTAGTTTTTTTTTTTTTAATACTGAGGTAAATGAACTACCTGGAAGTTCCCTTGACTTTGCCAGTAGCCCTGTCTATCATCAGGGATGGGGAAAGAAAGGACTTAACATGGATGGAGCTGCGGACTGCAGGGACTCCCAAGACTGAATGATGATCGTCTGTCATCCAAATGGACGCCGCTGCAGAGCCCAGCCCAGGGTGTTTGAACAATGGGCACCAACCAATGGAGAAGGCAGGGGAGAGACGACAGACATACGGATGGATGTACCGGGGGACCTGCTGCCCAGATGCCCCCCACCTTCTGTCACCTAGCCACTGCCTGAAGATCAACTACAAGGTGAGTGCAAGAAGAGAACCATCATGTAGGTAAGGGTCTATTTCTATTTATACAACAAGTGGGTCTAATCCTGAATGCTCATTGGTTAAAACCGCATTCCAGCCAGTGTCGATTCCACAAGTAACCACCGGCTAAATCTGACGTTAAAATGCCTATTTACTCAGTTCCATCTGACTGCGCAATCCACTGTCTCATCAGCCCAGCCAGGCAATTTATAAACTTGATCTCCACTATAAAAAGCATCTAGACATTATCTTCCATTTCTTTTGGACTAGCATTTGGTTTTCAACAGCAGAGATTTGTATAATCATTGCTGTCTGTCTCCGACATTTGCAACATTGTTTCAATATTGAAATTCGATCTCCTGTTGTCCTATAGTAATGAATGTGTCGTGACGAGACAGACAGCTTTTCTCAGCCAGTCGAAATCATGAATCAGCTGGCATAATTTTTATGGATATATACAAAGAAATGTCAATAGAAACAGGCAAAATTAAACTAAATGCAGCTGGTTTGCAGTCTTTCCAGCTTCAGTTTGAAGTGATTGTGTTAGCTGTGTTGTTGGCTAGCTCCTCTGAACAAGTGTCCTGACGAGAGAGCACATTTTCTATGCCAGGCAAAATCGCGCATCATTAGCCCATTGTTATGGATGTATCCAAACAAATGTCACTAGAAAACAGTTTAAACAAACGCAAATGCAGCTACTTTTCTGTTATTCTGGCTGTG